AGGAGGAGGAGGAGAAGGAGGAGGAGGAGGAGGGGGAGGGGGAGGGGGAGGAGGGGGAGGAGAAGGGGGAGGAGGAAGGGGAGGAGGAGAAGGAAGAGGAGGAAGAGAGGGAAGAGGAGGAAGAGGCAGGCTACCCGCTTTCAACCTGGTGTGGTAGCACACACCTGTATCCTAAGACTCAAAAGGCTGGGAGAGAGAGACATGTTTGAAGCCAGCCGGCCTGGGATACATGGCAAGCCCTGATTCCAAATAAGGAAGAAAGAAAGATAGAAAGAGAGAGATAGAGAGACAAAAAGGCAGAGAGACAGAGAGACAGACAGATGTGGAGAGGGGGTAAAGAGAGGGGAGGAGATGGGGGAGGGAAGGAATGTTCCTTTCAGGGATGAGTCCCTGCCCTGGCCTCTCCTGGAGCCAAATTCCTCCAGCACTCCAGTGCTTCCTGCTGCAGTCCGCAGTGTTTGCTCTTTTGAACAAAATGTGAGCTGGTTCCCACCCTCCTCCAAATCCCCCCCATGAGGATTCTCCTTACTAATCTTTCATATACCCCTCCTCTGCATGGGAGCTCCTTGGTTTCCTCTATAAAAACCAGATGTGTCACATTTGTTCTGTACAGGGAAGCAAAGACATTGTTAGAGTGAACTACCCAGGCCATGACATATAAAAGAATTTCAAACAACCATTTCAAAACACGAAGCCTTTGAAAGCTTAACCCAGAGGAAGGGTCTTCTTTGAAGCCAGTCTTCCACCCTGGAAGCTCTCCTGACCTGGAACTACTTTGGCCTGCTTCCAGGAGGTGCAATGTGCTGACATCAAGCAAAACTCACTTGTCCATCCTGCCCTATGACCTGGGAAACAGATCAAAGCAGCTAACGCAAGGTCTCTCAGCACTGAACTCTACTTGATCCAGGTCAGACGCCAAAGTGAGATGAAACATGTGAGATGTTATGGAGGAAGATTTTTGTGTCGGCAAACAAGAGGAAAGCCTGGGAAAGATGCAAGAGTCATCATCAGCCCACAGTGCAAGCCCCAGCCTCTGTGAAGGAGAGACAGAAAAAAGTCGGTGTGAGTAGCACACACTGATGAAAGGCAGAGAACTCAGGGCCACTGAGCTGTCGCTGTCAGAGAGGCCCAGAGGAACCAGCGTTTCTGCCCTACAAATCCAAACAAACCATCATAAGGACTGACTGTTCTTCCTATGGGTGACAAGTGTTCTCAGGCTTGTAGCATGTAACTGTATGCTATAGATTCTGGGACAGGATTCTACTCACAAGTAATGAGGTTTGCTGCTAAATAGCTCTATACTTTAGGCAGCTGGCCAGTAGACAATGGATGATTATATAAAGGCATCAGTTTCTCTTAAATATAGCTCTTCCTGAGCTATTTTAAGGTTCAGCAACCTTTGTGACCTGCATAAAATACTCAGAGCCATTGTATGTCATAAACAATTCAATTTGATTTAATTATATTTAGTTATAGCAGCCTGTCTTAAGATTGGCATCAAAGTAAACCATGTGTCCTAAGTCTTATGTCTTGCAAATGGGATCCTTGGCTTTCATAGGTAGAACTATCCACTCTCGAGCCTTCACTGTGTGAAAGAATAACAAAGCTACGATATGTTTATATTTTCTATTAATTGCCTAAAATCCAAAAATGACATATCATATCAATTGGCATATTTCATCTCTATTTATCAAAGATGGAAATTATTCTAGCAATACTACGAAGTGCACATTGTCAAACAAAAAATTTTAAATGTTTGTGTCTGACATCATAGAATAAAACTTTGTTGATGTACATAGCAATACTTATTACATTAATTTACCTATTACAGTATCTAAATAAGAATGGTAACTATGTTATTGTAAGAGATAGCGTCACATGTGCTAGAGAAAATGAAAGCAAGACTTCGAGAAGACAAGTTATTTTTAAAGAAGAAAGGAATGGAAATAAGAAAAAAACATAAAGCTGGTAGGATGGCAGAATGTCATGAAGGATCAATGACGCCTCACCTATGACCTTTAGAGTATTTAGTAAAATGATGAACATTCATAGTTACAGGCATAGTTAATGAAAGTGGAGTTTCCAAAAACCAGAGAAACTAAACTCCAAACACGGGCTGATGTGGAACAGACTGCAGTAGCAGAGTCAGAGATCAGGGAGGTGTTATTAATAATATACCACAGAGCAGTAAATAGAGCGGTAAATAGAGTCATGGGGACAGTGTCAAGTCAGGAGTATATCAGCTGCTATCCAGTTACATGTATTTCAAATAAGTTGTCTGCTTGTCTAAACTTAGACAGGTTTCTTAAAGAGATCTGTTCCTCACACAGAGACCTGCTTAAACTCCTGATGTCTTCATAACATCATAGAAAAGCCTACACAACCCTGGCAAGCAAGAGCAATTCACTCATCCATTTGACATTCAGTAAACATTCCTATGTATCATGCACTATACGATACCTGCTTATACCTACGTGGCCGAAGAAAAATCAAATGACATTTTAAGTTTAATGAGCTATAAGGCAAGCTTTTGAACACTGAGCTATACGGCCAGCCTTCTTTTACTTAAGAAACAAACAAGAAACATACAGTATATTATGCAGCTGGGGAGATTGAGCAGGGGAGATTGTTCGTTCTCTAAGAGGACTTACTGCTCTATCAGAGGACATGAGTTCAAATTCCAGAACACACACTGGGCAGCTCACAAATTTCCTTAACTCCAGCTCTAAGATACCCAGTGCCACCATTTGGCTTCCATACATATGTGCCCCCACACACACACACACATGCATTTGCACAAGCATACTTATTATACAAATTACAAATTATAAGAATTTAGAGGAGCCCTGATGGCTCAGAAGATCTGCCACCCTGCTGCATGCGCCATGTAAAATTATTCTAAATACAAGTGAGCAATTCCAACTGACCACAGTCTCCTCAGGAAGGCACAGTATGGAACACTATGTGATGTGGGTTCGTAAGTCACAGCCGGATACTTTCCTAGAAATTTTCCATCAGACTATAAAGACTTCTTAAGAAATCCTTCATTAATTGCTTTATAAAAAGTCCTCACAAGTGCAACAGTACCAACCAACCAGAGCTCCCAGGGTCTAAACCACCAGCCTGGGAGCACTTAGGGAGGGATCCATGGCTCCAGCTGTATATGTAGGGGAGGATGGCCCTGTCAGGCATAGGTGAGAGAAGAGATCCTTGGTCTCATGAAGGCTGGACGCCCCAGTGGGTGGGAATTTGAGGGTGGGGAGGTGGGAATGGGGGGGTAGGTAGGGGCACATCCGCAAAGAAGCAGAAGGAGGGGTGATGGGATAGGGGGTTCCTGGGTGGTGGGGGGAATGGGGTAAGGGGATAACATATGAAATGTAAATAAAACATCCAATAAAAAAAATAAAAATAAAAAGTCCTCACAGACTAAAGGCTTGCATTGCCTGCTCAACAGTTGTAGCAGAGACACATAATGTCATAACTGGCATCGAATAGCCTTGGGGCTACCCTCTCCATCTTCCTCCGGTGCCTTCTTTCAACAGACGTGTTCTCACAGATAAGAAGAATAACATCAATGTGTAAGAGAATGTGCCTGGGAGAGTTGACTCCTGTTAAAGATGCTTGCTTTCTTAATGAAACATAGCCAAGAAAAGTACTTTGTGTAGAGGAGTTGAGGAGTGGGGAACTGCATATATTTTAACGTTTGGTTTTTGGTTGGTTGGTTGGTTGGTTGGTTGGTTGGTTGGTTGGTTGGTTGGTTGTTTTGCTTTGTTGATTTTTTGAGGGTTATTTTTGGCATGGCATGAAAGGAAAAGGGTGATAATGATTTAATTTATAACTAGGGCTAAAACTAACACCATGAATATTTTCAGCTTTAAAATTATATGATTTTAAGAATAAATCAAAGTGGGAGAAGAAAGGGAGATTTAAGATGATAGAGAGCTGGAGAAATAGCTGAGCAGTTAAAAGCAAGTACTGATCTTGCGGTGGACTTGAATTCAGTTTCCAGCACCCACATAGGATAGTTCACAACCTCCTATAACGCCAGCTCCAGAGGACTGAATGCCTTCTTCCGGATTCTGCAGGTACCTGGACTCACAGGTGCACATTCCCACACGCTGATTAAAACTACAAGTAAAATTTTCTATGGAGATGGTTTTGAGATATAATAAAAGATCCAGTAAACAAACTTCTAGTTCTTTGCTTAGTGATGGCTGGGCACAACATGTTCATCACCAAATCTCAATACCTGGAAATAAAACAGATTTTTTTCTTAGATATTGGGGGCCTTTCTACAATGTCTCAGCATTTCTTACTCAGCTATCCAAGACAGAAGAACCTTCTTGAAAGCAGATAGTTACCATGCTGAAAATAAAGAACTTGTCCTGTCTACTTACTGTTCTGACCCAGAAAAGACATGTTATTTACTTCGGCTCCTAGTTATTTGAGAAGACTAACCGTGTTTCCAACCAGCCCCTGGCAGGGCAAGCAGTGCAAGTCTGTACTATTTCCTAAAGAGAATTATTGGCTATCAATGTGGCTTCTAAGGGTCCAGATCTTCTTGACGAACAGGCTAGAGATCTTTCTTCATCCTGAATCCTTAACTATAGGTAACCAACATTGATCCCTAAAAGCAGCCATAATGGAAACTACCAGAGAATGCCAGATGCCTCATTCATTCGTAATTAATACAAGTCTCTCACCAATTATGGAAATGAGACTGTATAATAAAATGGTCATGTTTATGATTAACCAGCAGCCTAATATCCCTTATGTGCAGTGTGTCTCTACCAGTGTCAAGTGTGTCTTCACCAGTGCCAAGTGTGTCTCCACCAGGGCCAAGTGTCGCCTTTAGTGTTCTCCATATTAATATCAAGGTCATTTGTTTGAGTACTGAACTTTGGGACAACAACATAATCCTAACTCTCAAGATGCTTTTGACTGAAGGCCACATGTTGTTAGACATTCAAAGGTACATTTGACCTAACAGTAGTCTCGAAGGCTTATTTTATGGTAAAATTTAAGTTTGAAATCGTTCAATTACTACCATTTTCAGAGCTATGGGAGGATAACTTGAACTAACAACTAACAGCTAGCAATGTTGTTGCCTTGCCAAGTATTTAATGAGTCATGAAGGTCAGAGCTGAACCCAGTAAATAAGCAGAATATTAGATGTTGCATAGCATCCTCCAGAAGCAGAGTTAGAGGCTTTGCTGAAAGAGTTAAGAAAAGAGTCAGCCTGCCAAGAGCCTTTCACTGCCTCAGTCCACCAGTGTCTCTTGGAGTTTTCTCTTGGTGCCTGTAGGATTCTCTTCAATATTGAGAATCAATGATAAATTATTAGTTGGGCAATGCATAACACCATCAACACCATCAGGCACCGGAGTTTCTATGCACGTGACCTTCTCACATAGATTACCTCATCTAATTCCACAATAACTATTTGAGGCAGCCATTAATGACATATTTTAAATTGAGGAAGCTGGAGCTGAGTGAAATTATACATTTCTTTCAAAGATAACTTTGATAATAGAGCTGGTGAGCCCATTAGGACCCAGGACTTGTGACTTCAAAGGCCATGTCCACCTCACACGTCTGTCTTGTAATTCCCAAGCACCTGGACAATCATCTACACTTAAAGAAGCTTTTAAGAATGTGTTTAATAATGTGAGTGATGTGTGTATTTTAAAATAATAATTTTCTCTAAATGAGAAATGGAGCAAAAGTCTTAAAATGCAGATTTGATGTAGCAGCTGTTAATATGATCGTGATTTTATGTAGCAGCTGTTAATCTTAGCTTTATCCCTGGGAAGAGTGAAATGAAGGATGTCATTATAAGTAAGTACTCAATTTAATTTATACTTTGCGAACAGAAGGATGAGTTTTAAGTACGTATCACCAGGCAGTCTGTCTCTCAGTATACCGCTGCTACAATTAATCAATTGAAAATACAAACAACAGCTAACCTTGGGTTACAAATTTTTCGTAACATTTCTTATCTCTTAGACCAGACTCATCCTGTGTCCAGGGAAGTCCAAAACACTGGCTCACATTGACTCTTCTGATTTTAACTAGCTTTGGAATCCTAATCGTGTCAGTGCCATTGGAATGAGCAATCACAGCTACTTATAGCCCATAACCTGATAAAAATCTCCAATCCTCTGGATGAAGAAGGCAGAGCTGAGGTTTTCCTGTTTTTCTTATTGTACATCAGAGAGGAATCGTCTCAGCAGAACACAGTTCCCTTCTCGAGTGACTCTGGAGGAATTTTGAGACCATCCCTTGCTCCAAAATAAGGAACAAAGCTTGAGACCTTGTCACGGGAACATAAAGTCAGATTACTAAACGTCTATGTCTATTGGTAAGTCTTCTATGGATGAACTTATTAAGTGCCTCCCTCAGCAGCCTCTAGGATGGCGTGAGTTAATGGTTTGGAAGGTTTTTTTTTTTTTTTTTAACCAAATATTGATCTATTACATTAACTGAAACAAAAAAGCAAGCCATTCTAGAAAGTTGACTAACTTAGGTTTACATATCATCAATTTTCTGTTGCTGTGTTTCCTGCTCTATTCTGTGCCTAGGATTAAATTTTCCTAGTTTTTGTGCTACTTACAGATCTTATCTGCTAATCCTAAATCCACAAGTATCAAGGTCAAGGGCTTGAGAGTCACTTTTACACAGTTTCATTCTGTATATTTTACACAAGCACAGGAAAAGTGGGTCTCAATGTCCAGTTGTTTTCTTAGAGTCTTAGAGTCTGATCTCTTAGGGAACTTGTTATAGTCTTATAAGAGGCGGAGTT